CAATCCTCACCTTCAAAAAATCGTACTGTAGCATAAGAAGTCAGTAATGTTGTAGGTGTGTATATTCAAAGCACCGTGGAATCACAGAGAGACCTTTTAATCTCATTTGAGGACCATTTAAAAAGCGTTTATGGCAGATGTGAGGTTTGATTGAGTGAGTCTTCAAAAGTGCTCCTATTACATAAGTAAAGAGATTATTGATCAGAACATACATCTCCTATCAAATAAAAATTTACTCCTAATATTGGTTCTGTTTATTTCAAAGAAGAGAGTTAAAATAATAGTTAATCTATGCAATGAAAAATCAAGAAGGAAAGGAAGATAGGAACATGTCAAAGCAAAGCTTCTTTATATTATGCTTTAGTCATCTTTCCTTTACTTGTACTTTCTTTGGCAACTATTCAGTGTCAAAATGTCAAGTGATATGGTGGACCTGATCTGGTTGGGGAGAGCTTAGATTTCTGGCAGTAACTTGGATAATCGGGCCATGTATAAAGCCTTTGTAAGGCTTTAACCATTTTTGCCACATATGTATTCTGCTATACTTCATATCCATTATTGTGTCCAAATTGACTTAATACATTCTATGGATTTTTACTCATTGGCCAACCATTCCATTCTTTCCAGAATAAAACAAAAGGATATTGTATCTTGTTATCCCAACCCTGTTAGACATAGGAAATTATTCTCTTTCCCATGGAGAATGAAAGCTATAGCTATTCTGTTCCCTAAGGACTGGCTCATCTAATCTCAGATTGTAAGAAATGCCTCCTGCCTTTTGACTGCTTTGGCTGTCAGAGTAAATTGGTGCTTTGGGATCTGGAGCTGGTATTGATGCAGGTATACCAGATTAATACAGGGACACTCCAAAGAGGAGAGGGGAACCTTGACCCTGCGTAACTGGGACAAGTGGCCCTAGGTCCTGCTGTTTAGAAGATTTTGCAGTTTGGAGTCGGATCAGTAACCTCTCTAGAGTCTGCAATCAGGGCCAAGGACAGTGAATTTTTATATGTTCAGTAAACATTTGTTGAATGCATGCATGCATGCTTGTATACGTCATCAGAGAAGACTGATAATACAGGCAAGGTTACCACCGTGTATGATGTTTAGAGAGAAAGTCCAAGGGGAGGACAGGCCTAATACTAGAGCTACAGAAACACAGCAAGGGACACACAGCAAAGGGATGGGAGCCACAGATATTAGGGGCCTTAAAAAAGTGAGAAGAACCAGAGAAAAGACTAGTAGAAACCCAACATGACACCTATTTTCCAATCTTCATTGCCACCATCATCAACATCTTACCCTGTCTTCAGTCCACAGAAAATTCTTCATTGTTCCCCAGATGCTCTTTTATGCATATTTGTTACTGTATGATGTGGTAGAATGAAAAGATCACTGACTCAAAGTTAGAATCCTAGCCCCATCCCCTACTGGCTATAGTATGACCTTGTGATATTGCTTATTCTATTTGAACCCCTGATTCATCAGTTATAAAGTAAATGGAACCAATTATACCTAATAAGTTGGTTGTGAGGGTTAAAATGAGTTGATACATATAAACAACCTAGTGTAGCGTCCAACATATAGAGTTTAACCTGCATTATTTCTTTTCACCTTTTCTTGGTAGACCAGTTCGCCTAACTCCACCTCCAAATCTGTCTGTCTCACTGTATTACTGAACTCATAGGTTTGAATGCTGTTACAGATACTCCACACAATAGTGTCTTCAACAAGATAGAAATCCAATTCTCTGTCAAGTAACAGTCCAGGTGCCCAGGAGCAGTCCAGGGCAAATAGAACAGCTCCCCTGTGGCAGGAACAC